CTCCATGGTCAAACTCTCTGCTTTCAAGTTTCCTGCAGGAGAAAATGAAACTGACTTCCTAAGCATATGCTTAGATTCTACAGAAGAAAAAGGGAGGCCATTCTTCCTAATACTGATTAACTCAGAAACTAGGGCTCCATTGGGTTTGCGTAGGGAAACCAGTGAAGGATTTCTAGACCGTCTTCTCCTCAATGAACTCCGCCGCTTCTGAATACCTCGCGAGGATAAACCATTCCTATACTGGGTGCTTCTACAAGCTAATTTGGGAACTCTTACACTCGAATGCAACGCATGCCTGTTCTCAATCCAATCAACTTTTTCACCATCACAATCATCATCATCATCTCCCTGATCAATAAATTCGCCATTTTCACGCCCATCAATCAGATTATTTACAGCTAGATGACAACGGAATCTAAGATGCATGCTGGTATGCATGAACATAAAACATCCAGGAACTGCAGAAAAGTCCACAGAAAACAATGGGATAAACTGCTCGGCCCCAAAAAGTTTGCAAACCCCAGACCTCCTAGTACAAGAACGATCCTGAAACAAGGTTTAACAAATAAAAAATAAATCAAACTCATGACCAAATAGAAAAGCAACAACATATTCACAAACCACAAAAGGACACCTTTTTGCAATCAAATTCCCATTACATTGACATGTATCAAATGTAATGGACAACCACCACTTACCAGCGAGAACTGAATGCCATAGGAGGCAAAAATGCTGCCAATCGGCTCTAAAGCAAGAAATGTATCAAATGTAATGGACAACCACCACTTACCAGCGAGAACTCAATGCCATAGGAGGCAAAAATGCTGCCAATCGGCTCTAAAGCAAGAAAGTCAGAAAATTCAGTCAACCCAAGACTGGCCCTCGTCATGTACACCAAAACAGAATACAAAAACCGACCAGCCCAGTAACCCTGAGCCCATGAAGACTCCACCGAAAAGCGAAGCACTTCTGGGCACACAAAACCCAGATGGGAATCCAACTCCTTACTCTTCTTCATCCTCTGCCTCCGAGCAAACCTCCGCCCATACATTCTATCATCAGATCCACTTTCCTTCTCTACATTCCCTGAAAAACTTGCACTGGCACGCTTCCTCTTTCGGGTATACACAATCCCATACCTCTTATGCTCTTTGAGCCCGTCAGCCAAAAGCTCATTGCTTTGAGGCTTCTTGACCACTGAGGTCTTCAAAACAGGGGTGTTTCGTCTTGGACTACCGACTTGGTTGGCCCCAGCCCATTTCTTGTGATTTAATCCAACAACAGAGTCTCCGGCATGGCTTTTCATGAGTTTGAGCCAGTCCTCGTCGCCATTGCGGGCCCTCTCGAGCTTGGACTCAGAGGATTCGGGCCAGAGGCGGCGCCCGGAACGCAGGACGCGAGCCCCATCGACCCCACCCTTCACCATCCCCATCCCGAAAACCCTGGTCGTCCGTCTCATCTCCACCGATGGCATTTCCGTGCTCAGATTCCGAAGCAACACCACTCCGGACCTCCTCCTGCTGCTCCTCCTTGACTCAGTGAGTCGCCGAGTCGATCTCCGAGTCGACTCAGTCGCAAACTCGGGGTGCTTGGAACTCTCAACCGAAGAAAGCGGCAGCAACGGAGCTCTCATGGTCCGGCGCCATTTTCAGGGCTGGGAGAAGTCGGAACTCTATGGACTCGCTTCGACTCGGGGTTCGACTCGGGACTGGTAACGAGTTTGGCTCATTAATAACGATGAAAATACAGATTTTATTTTCTTATACAGAGAAAAATAAAATAAAAAAGATTAAAAATAATTACACAAAAAATCGGAAAAAAGAAAAAGAAAAGAAAAAGAAGAAACCGATAAGATTTTCACAACCAAAAAGAAAAAAAGAAAGCTCTGGGTGTTTGAGAAAGAAAATCAAGAGAGAGATTATGAGGAAGAAGTACACAAGTACATACAGATACTAATTTACAGAGGAAACAAATCCACACAACTGAGATCTGAAAGAGAACGAGAGAGAGAAGATCGATCGAGTTTTGGGATTTGCGTTTGAGAGAGAGAGAGAGAGAGAGGCGGGAGAGTGCGTTTTGGGGACTGGTATCGGCTAGGGTTTATGATAAAAACCACAGAGGGGGAGTTTTGGGTGAAACCAATCGCCGACTAGTGAGGACCGTTGGATGGGAGATGGACGGTTGAGATTGCACCTTCTTCGTTTTTTTTATATTGATTCGATGGCTCCAAAGAGGAAAAAAAAAAAAAAGGAGAGAGAGAAAAAGGGAGAGTGGGTGTGTCTTTCTGTGTGTGAGAGGGAAGACTCGGACTGGAGGGAGTGGTTGATATTTTTACGTTATGTTGGGTGGAAATTACTGAAAAGGGCTTCAATGTGATGGGGGATAGGGGGGGAATTTCGAACGTTGAGATGGGATTTTTGGTCTTTTAGGCGGTGGATCTTCATATTTGGGGGGTAAAAGTGGCGACTATCGCTGCCGTGACTTCGGGATTTAAATTGTGTTACGGTTGTAAATCTTGAAGGGGTACTACAACAAGTACGCTGTAATTTTCAGTTTGCTTTTTTGCTTTTTTTTTTTTTTTAAAATATATATATATATAATTGGATTGGAGACATAGCAAATTTAGAACTTCTAGACTACTAGCCATCGGGTCTAGTCTAATAAAAAAGAATCTCGATTTGCATATCAGTGGTCTCAAATTGGAACCTTCAAGACACTTTGGTAGTGTGTGTATAAACTCTCATACCTTCAGGGCCCATTCAATAATGTTTTTACAGCCCTTTTTTTGTTTTTGTATCATGTTTTTAGGCAAATACACGTTCGGTGGTTTTCCCTCACAAAATATTTTTTTATTTTCATTTTATGAATATATGAAAATTCATTTTGTCCCAATCTCTCTTTCTCCAATCAACTGAGCAGCACCATTGTGGAAACCATCTCCTTCGACCCAGACCCATCGTCAGCATTGTTGCCCTTGAGTTCAAGTTGGTCTATCCATTTCAGTATGCCGCATTGGCATCGACGACTGATGTTGGAGAACCACAAAACAACAAAACCAAGAAGAGAGAGAGAAATGAATGTTTTTTTTAATAAAGAGTAGGGCAAATACAGTACTACATTAAGGTGGGATCTGGGAAGGAAGAAGAAAAGAGAAAGGAGAAAAGAGGAAGAAAGAAAGAAAAATGAGAAAAAAGAATACAAATTTATAAATAAACCCAATCTTAGACATGTATTTATAAAAAAACCCAAACACTATTTAAACATAGAAACACACCCAAAATCAACCCCAAAGTCAACAATTGTATATTTTTTGGGTGCGTTTATAAATGGGTTTTGAGTGTGTGTAATGATGAGTTTTAGGTGTGTTTATAAAGTCTTTTGGGTGCTGGGTTTTTTTATAATTTCAGCTCTCATTTTGGGTGTTTTAGTGAAACTCCCTAAAAAGAAATACCCTAAACCCTCCTAAACCCTAAACCCTAAATTATATATTTTTAAAATATAATTTTACAAAAGGGTTTATGGTTTTACAGCCTAATATATAACAAACATAAACCGTAAACCCCAAAAATTATCCTTTAATCCTAAACCCTAATAAATAACAACAATAAACCCTAAATCATCAAACTACAAGTGATGTTATGACTCATCAAAATAATTTATTTTTGGGTGGTCATTTTAAATTTGTATTACTCAAACTGATTTTTTTTAAGGTTTAGGGGGAAGCAAATATATCAATGACTTCATAGGAGTTGACGTTTCATTTTTTGGATTTATTTTATATTTATTTTGAATATTTTGAATTAAAAATAATAAAATATTCTTAT